TAAAATTCTAATTATCGCTTTTTAAAATGATAAACATTAACGAGGAGTTAAGATAGTTAAAATGATAGCGATGTCAAGGAAAAATCATCTTTTTTGATAGATCGATTTTTTTTTTTTTTTTACGAGGACAACGGTTAAACATTGAGAAACATTTTTATTAAATAAATGTTTTCAAAATTACAGAGTAGCTTCCCTTTAATTGGCGAAGACATGTTCAAAGATCTCTTGCAAATGCCTAATATTGTGATAATACTGAACTGAACATGCGCATATATATTTTCCGACACAGGCATACCTATGATAAAATTTAATTTGTAAAAATAGGTACAACTAGCAAGGATTCCCGGAATTGTGAACCAAGTGTCCCTTGCTTTACTACAATCCTTTCTTTGTTGAAGAGATTTGCATCAGAGTGGGCTACCTGACTTGGCTTTGCTAAAAAGAAAATGCTCATGAGTGTGCGATCTTTATGTTTGGTACCTCCACTAATTTTCGATAAAGTTTAAAATATTTTTTTTAAAATGAAAGAGCGTTCTTGAAACTTTCTTCTTAGCTATAATTAAAACCTAAATGATAAAATTTACTATTTCCGGTAAGCAAAATGTACTCTAGTGTATTTCAAATAGAAATTATATTGATTGGAATTGATTTTTTTGGTTGCTTTTAGTAAAAATCATTAAAATCGGCCATTTTGACACATTTGTAAACAAAAGTTAATCATCGGTTTTAAAAATCTTCCTAAAATAAAATACACTTTTTTTTGAAACTTTACGTGAGGAATATTAGTTGATTTAAAGTATAATTAGTCAGATTAAAAAAAAATATTATTTACTTTAAAAATAACGGGGATATTGAAAACAAACATTACTTGTCATAGCATGTCAATCATGCAACAACTACTGATAAAGGTGTTGATAGATTTATTATTGTTCTACAGAGATTATCTGCTAAAATAATTTAAGAAAATGACATGTGATCCTCTTTTTTATATAATTTTATAATGTTGGAAAATATTTTCTGTAATCTAATTTTAAGAATGTTGACTTTAAATTTACTATAGCCATCACTCTTATTTTCTGATAATATCATGTCATTGGTTGACTATTTCAAAAACGGGCATGTTATATAATATTTTATAAAAAGTTAAAAAATTATTTTGAGAATCTTAATGTAAAATGATTTGTATTAAGCATTTCAATTTTTGATTAGTAAATATAGTTTTCACTTAATCATCTAACCAGATGAAAGTAATGCAGACTTGTAAAAGATTTATATATCATATAATGTGAAAGAGAAAAACATTGAAATATGGGGAGTCTAGTTGAAATATGAAGTACCCACTAGAATAACATTTGAGGTAATAAAAATGTTGGATTAAAAGAAAGCCATTTAATTCTTTAGAAATACGGGGAGCGATGGATAAATTGTCGTCTAAATGATTAAAAAATGAAAATTACACTGACATCTCATTTTAACAGATATGGGGGTGCGATGGATAAATTGTCATTTAAATGATGCAAAAAAAAAAAAAAAAAAAATGAAAATAACACTAACATCTCATTTTAACAGATATTGAGTGTGCGAAGGATAAATTGACACCGAAATGCAAGTGACACTGACACCTGAGAAATGGATAAAAATATTCAAAATAGGATAGATGTAAGAATAATTTCATCGTTGACTGTACCTTGATAAAGTCTGTTAGATGATAAAATGCTTTGGATGAGACAAGTTTCCTTTTCATCTTTATTTATATGGTCTTTTTATAGATATATGCGTGTATGTATGTTTATGAGACTTACATTCCCTATTTTCAGACCATATATATATATATATATATATATATATTACGATAAACGTGCAATCAATTTACAAATTCATGAATTATTCACACAAAAACTAATGCAAAGGTTAATGATTTAATTGGCGAGAAATCCATCATCGCAAACAATTCAAATAATATACAAAAACCTCCGAATCCGTTATGAATGAAATGATCCTTGTTTATATAAATTTCTGCCGTATTAGTTCTTATTTTTACTACAAGCTTTCGTCTGTTCCTACAGACATCTTCAGGTATAGAATAGATGTTGTTCTTGTTTTTTCTCTTAGTAATAAGAGGACAACGAAAATATATGTATTGTATCCGAAAATGCTATTGGAAACGAGTTATTGTTTTTGAGCGCGCCAGTAGCAACGCTTGAGTTTGATTTTAAATTTTTAAAAGTTGTGCGTTCATATATGGTGATGAACTAATTTTTTTACTGGTAAATTTTCTGTCAAAGTGGCATGAACTATATTGTTCAATAATTACAGTAATGTCGCACTTATTATCCAAAAGTCGCACTTGGATCAGTTATTTAAATTACGATAAACGTGCAATCAATTTACAAATTCATGAATTATTCACACAAAACTAATGCAAAGGTTAATGATTTAATTGGTAGAAATCCATCATCGCAAACAATTCAAATAATATACAAAAACCTCCGAATCCGTTATGAATGAAATGATCCTTGTTTATATAAATTTCTGCCGTATTAGTTCTTATTTTTACTACAATTATTATTATTATTAGTTTTTGTGTGAATAATTCATGAATAATATATATATATATATATATATATATATATATAGAGAGAGAGAGAGAGAGAGAGAGAGAGTGTGTGTGTGTGTGTGTGTGTGTGTGTGTGATGGATAAGTTGTCATCTAAATTACACAAAAATGAAAAACACTGACATTTCTTTTTATCAGATATTTACCAAAATTTTACAAAAATATCTTGAAATACTAAATAAATTTATTTGATAAAACCACCATTGACTTCAACCACAGCCTCCAGACGACTTCAGAAACTTCTCTAATTCTTCTGGACAGTCTCCTTGGTGAACGCTGCCATAATCCTTGCCTTCAGTTCATCTTTGGTGTTACAAGGAGTTTTGTTGGTCTCTTGCTCAACTGTGCCCCATACATAATAATCAAGAGGTTGCAGTCTGGGAAGTTAGCTGGCCAGGTGTGAAGAGTGATGGGGCTGATACATCTGACAGCTATGAATGTATTCTCCTGCTTGTGTGGTATGGTGCAGATTCCTGTTGCCAGACACAGGCTCTTCCAGCAGCCACCCTCTTGACTCAAGGCAGCACTACCTTCTCAAGGTACTTGATGTAAGTCTCCATGTTGAGTCTGAGGCCCTATGGGAAGATGAATGGAAGCATAGTGTTGCCCTCACTAATGATCACTCCAAACACCTTTGTAATTACCATTACACTCATTGAACTCTTTTCGATTCCTCAGCACTGTCTTCATATTGACACCCAAACATTCTGAAATGTTCATAATGAGCTTCTGGTACAAATGTCAAGCATTACAGCATACCATTTCCAAATTTATGGTGGTTTGAATTGTGTCATGGTGTTTTGTTTTTTTCACAGATGGTGCCCAATTATATTTTGGAATACAGTTTGAAATTGTAGGATATTATATGAAAGAGTTCTTCTATGTTGGTTGTTTGGTAGTATTTTAAGTGAATTTGGGTGAAGTCGCTACAATTTCTCAGTATGTGTTTTATTGTATATAGTTCTTAGCATGTTGCACAAATTGGAGGTGCTTCTTATTTTAGAATATAAGCATGTGTTATCATGGAGTGTCTGATATGAAATTTAGAATCTGTCTATATTTCTGAGATGAGGTATTATATACACTATTTACATTATTCGAACCATTGTCCTCATCTTTGTCACCATATTTATTACAATGATTCGGCTGTTGTACACTCCGGCCTTCTTCAGATGGTTGGAATGTCAAACTGAACCCTTTATTTCGTTCACTGGGGTAGACTGTTCAAGGACACATGGCACACTGGATAAAGGCATTAGATCCAGTAACAGGACCCAAAGAGTGTGAGTTCAATACCTGGTTAAGGCAGTGGAGAACTTGGAGAGTGGAATTAACAGGAGATAACTGATAACCGACATCCATTAGACATGGAACTAGAACAGTCTACCACAGTGAGCAAAATAAAGGGTTCAGTTCGACATTCCAACCACCTGAAGAAGGCCCGAGCGTACAACGGTTGAAATGTTGTAATAAATACGGTGATAAAAATGAGGAAAATAGTCCGAATAATGTAAATAATGAAATTTAGACATTATTACTTCATCTTTCTTTGTTTTTAGTTCTTGATATCATTCTTCTATGGTAGATTTGTTGTTGTATAATTTGTTGTTTGGGTAGCCGGGCCATAGTTTTTGTTAAGACACTAACCTCCACTAACACTGTGCCTTCTCAGGCTGACATGAAGTGGAAAGATTATATTGAATCCATTGCAAGGTCTCATCCCAGGTAAGACGGTAAACTACATCCGCGTCCTGGGTAAGACGTTAAACTACATCCAGCAGCAAGGCTTCTGATCAGGAGGTTTTGAGGAGCATGGAACCACCTCTTAATTGCTGGTGTTTCCCGGTCCACCCTGACCCAGGGTGGTAGCACATGATATGGTCCTAGCTATGGGTAAATAGTTAACTATTACCCGCAATACAATTTTGAAGGAGAAATATTACCAGAAACAGATTTTTGACAAAAAATATTACCAGCAATAAAAAATGCTGTCAGCATTAAATAACCCACTGAAGTGTTGATATGTCATAAAACAATATAAACCAAACCAAACCAAACCATTGCAAGGTCAGCTGCTAAGAAGGTTGGTTCACTGTGTTGGGTTAGGTGTTTTTTCTCTCCAGAGTCTATCTTACATATCTATAAGTCTACCATTGACAACATGTTTAGAATATTGCTGCCACAATTGCTGCTGTCATTTATGTCTTAGTGGCTTTACTCCCTTGCATGGAGCGAATTTGATTAAAAAAAAAAAAAGAAGAGTTTTTCTCTTTAGAGCTAATGTCATTGGATTCAGTGTCTGTAAAAGAAGGAGGAGCCAATAGAATGGTAAGACAATGGTTGTTAGTAGCTTGCAGATGAAGAAAAAAGATAAAATCACTCACCTAGTTCTTCCTCTGCTATGTGGTTGCTGCTGTAACTATTGAGTGAGGAATTTGACACAAGACTGGAACCGGAACCCTTCCTCGAGTGAGTTGGAGGGGTGCCTGTGTAGTGTGGGAGGGACTTGAGAGATTTTTTCATCTGCTTCAAATTTCCTAGAAGAAGAAAAAACATGTTAAGTGGCAAATCAATAAATTATATATATATATATATATATATATATATATATATACACAAAAACAAGTTTCATTAACACTTTCACTGCTGCACTGTCATAGCATTGTTGCCTGGCTGAGCTGGTTCATTTTGGGAAAAATATAAATGTTTTTTATCAACCATTTGCAGGTTATTTAAAGCTAGAAAATATTCTTAAATTGGAAGAATTTTTTAAGATAATAATAATTTTACTGATACGAGTCATACTAATTAACCCATAGCTGGAGGGACCTTTCCCAACAGCATTTGCACATAAGTGAACATAAAAACCCCAACTGGAATTGGAACTCATCTCTTTGATTTCCAATTCTGAGCCATTATACTGCTTGCACATCCAAGCATGTAGCATCTGGTATTCCCAAGCAATCACCCATCTAGGTAGTAACAGGGATCAACATTGCTTAACTTTCAGTGATCATATGAGAACTGGTGTTTCAAGGTTCAATGACCATAAGTCTGGGCAAAAAAAGGAAATTGCCATTTGCTGGAGATAAATGACTATCAAGATGGTGACAGTGATTTCATATAGGCACCACCACTTTGGTTTCGATCAGATACTCAGCAGTACAGATTAAGCTTAACAACATTACCAACACACAATGTAATAAAAATGTTTGAAGAACATTTAGACAAAAACTAAGGAAGGCAACAAAGATTGGAAGGGATAAGGAAGAGAATGGGAAGATACAGTAAGAGAGTGACTAAGAGCAGAGGAATGAGATAGTAAATAGTTGTCAACAGCAATATTATTTCCATGGTAATAATTAATATTTGGTTGTTTTCAGTATCAAAGTATCTAGGTCTATATTAATTTTATAAAGAATATCTGTGTAGTCTTGTCAGGATTTTTTTGTGAGTGAGTGTTTAAAAGATGTTTTCTTACAAAGTTGTTTTCCAAGTTATTTAGTTAACACTTCCACTGCTGCATTACTATGCCATTGTAACCTGACTGCTAATTGCACCGATCCATTTTGGTAAAAAACAGAAAATTGTCATTTTCTGCATATAAATGACAATACTTTACTGGTGATTACTCCTAGGCACCACCATTGGCTTGTTATTATGTGGTCAGTCTGTAGGGTGATGTAGCAGAAAGGAGAAAAGGAAATTGAACATAGATTTGGCTGCACTAGAGGTAGTCCCCCCCAACACGGCAAATTGCTACAAAGCCAAAACATTAACCTGAAAAATGTTCTTAAATAGCCTTGTCGGATCAGGACTTTTCATATTGATATCATTTTAAAAATTAATTATTTTTTTTATAAAGATGTTTTCCAAGGTATTTAGTTAAGACTTCCACTTCTGCATTGCTATAACATTGTTACCTGGCTGTGCTGGCCCATTTTGGTAAAAAAAAAAAACAAAAAAAAAAAACAGGAAGTTGTCATTTTCTGCAAATAAATGACTATAAAGACTAATGCTGATTACTCATAGGCACCACCATTTTGGTTTCGATCAGACACTCAGCAGTACAGAGTAAGCTGAATAACACTCCCCAACACACATGATAATAAAAATGTTTGAATAACATTTAGACAAAAACTTAGGTGGGCAACAAAGATTGGAAGGGATAAGGAAAACAATGAGATTAACTGTGATTACTCATAGGCAATGCCATTGGCTTGTTATTATGTGGTTGGTCTGTAGGGTGAACTGGAATAAAGGAGAAAAGGAAATTGAACATAGAATTGGCTGCATGAGAGATAGTTTCACCCAACACCGCAAACTGTTACAAAGCCAAAACATTAACCTGAAAACTTGAGCTATATTCTTAAAGAGCCTCATCAGACTGAGACTTTAATATGAGTGTCATGCATGGTGGCTGACCCATTCAGAAATATCTGTCAGCTGTATATATATATATATATATATATATATGCTTTCTCAGATCAATGCGTAAAAATCGCTTTGAGTGAGTGAAGCCACACTTTTTCGAAAACCTTGTGGACTAGCATTACAGAATCACAAAGAACAGTACCAAGTAGCAGAAATGACATTGGTTGAAGACTTTCAACAGCAGCAACAGCTAAAATGGTCAGCACATGTAATTTGAAGAGAGAATAATGACCTAATCAATATATTGACGTTCCACACTACTTCCAATAAAATGTTAGGAAGGAAACTCCCACCAAGACTGGAAAGAGCAATACAAGCTACTGGACTTGATAAACCTGACTTACAGCCATACCACATAGAAACACTGGTTCCTGTATGATCATTGAAGTTAAGCAACATTGAGGCTGGGGAATACCAGCTGCTGTAAGCTTGGATGTGCAGGTGGTGTAATGGAAAAATGGAATTGTTAATCAGAGAGCCGAGTTCTAATTCCTGTTGGGGTTCATTATATTCACTTATTCACAAATACCCTTGGAAAAGTTATAAATCCACTTCTCCCCCAGCTATGGGTTAATTAGTAAAACTAAACTAAATTGTTATATCCCTCACCCCTGCTCCAAAAGATTCTTATAATGTAAAAATATTTACTGTAGTTTTGCACAACACTGCAAATTGCTTCAAAACCAAAATCTTAACCTAAAATCTCAAGGGATGTTCTTAAATAGCCTCATCAATATATTTATTTGGTGAATAATAGGAGAGATGTCTGTAGAGTATTTCTCAACAGAATCACCTCTAGAAGCTGATAATGAGATAAAGAAAAATTTGTCATGTGGGAAAAATTAACTGTCATATATGGTTGTTTTAACAGATAGCTAAGTTCATATGAATTGCAAATGTATTGTATCTAGCTTTGAAAAGAGATGTGGAGAATTAACTTTTAACTGTTTAAGCTTCCATAAATTTAATCGAAAGTTAAAAGCAAACGATAAACAACAAGGATAAAATATAAACAAAAATTTAATATTGCCATATATGTACAGAGTAGAGTTGATGGCTGAAGTGGAAAGTGTGTGAGGAAGGAGAAGGGGAGAGATGTTATTGTTTGGAAGGAGAGTCCGCTTCCATAGAAAAATCAGGTAACAGTCTTTCTGGGGGGTTTCTTCTCTCTTTTCTATCTCTTTGCACCTGAGACTTACTGGGAGGGGGGGTGCTCTGTTTCACTAAAAATTTGTTCAATGAGACTGGTTTTTGTTTACGTTTTAATGTGTTTATTTAATAATGTATATATATAAAAAAAAAAAAAAAACTTGGACAAAAACACAATGACATTCAATTAAAAGGCATGGCAAATTCAAGCAGATATGTGTGTGTGTGTGTGTGTGTGTGTGTGTGCGTGATTTTATCACTTTAAATGTTATTTTCAGTGATCGGATTAGAACCAGTGTTTCAACGTGATATAGCTGTAAGCTCCTAAACTTGCACCAATGATGAGCAGTCAAACCCTCAAAGAGACCCCTTGCCTCGAACTCCTACCAGACCTAAAGCTCACTCCTGATCTCAAACAGAATGCATATGTTTGTGTCATTGCAACAGGTGCTGGAAGAATGGTTGATTCTTTGTATTGCTCCAGAAAATACCAAACTCCTCTTGCTGCCATCTTTAGAAGAGTCAGATCAAACCAAGTATTGAATATTGCTGCCATATTGTCATCCTTGTCCAGCCTTGATGGAATTCAAAAGTGCTTATTCAGCCTTGTGGGTGATGAATTCTCCATCCTGCAACCATTATCCCACAGAAGAAATGTTGCCAGCCTTCTACTAGTACACTGTGGCAAATGTTTGGATGAGTTACATTCTTTCGTTCCACCACCTCCTTGACAGTTAGGACCCTCCATGCCATCTTCACAGTGGCAACTCATCCCCATTCTCTTTGTGATCCTTTGATAAAAAGCAAGTTCCACTCAGACAGCTTCATCCCCAGAAGTGTTATTTTGTGGAACAAACTCCCAAGAGAATGCCTCCATGACAACTAAAATTTTGGTCCAGTAGGTAGGATTGGACCCATTGCAGCTTAGTGGCTTTATTGCCTTGCTTGGGATGAAATGTTAAAAAAAACAAAAAAAAAAAACAAAACAGTTGGTCAACTTATAAAATATGTTTTAATGATGTGCGTTATAATTTAAGTCTATCACTCATCCAAGCTTTGACTATTGTTGCCATATATGATATTGCACCCCTGCTATATACTTAGAGATTCTTGATAAAATCTGAAGCAGAATCTGCAATGTTATTTGTCCTGACATCTCAGCTTAAGGTCACTTTCCCACCGCCATAATGTAGCTTTCCTGTGCCTTTTCTATAAATATTTTCATGGTAACTGTTCTGATGAACTTTCCTCTATGGTATATAAATTGTATTCATTGTAAATATTCATTGAAGTTTCATTTTTAAATGTTGTTATTTCACCACCACCCCAAAAAAAAACAACTTGTACATATGGGAACGAGTTAGGACTTCATAGAGACTTTGAGGTATTATGGTGACTGTAGTAAGAATGTGGTGTTTTGGTGTAAGAAACACTGCGGTATGTTTGGGTCAGCAATCATGGCTAGCTAAGTTTATGATAAGACAGATTGAAGCCCATCTCCCCCTATCGCCCCCCCTTTTTTGGCCTTGTGCCACATTTTTGTATTTTTAAAAATAAATATCACTTTTTACTATGGTACTTAGACTTTATGAATTTAAGCACAGTACTAGATTGGTGGTAATCTCTCATCATTGTACAGGTGAAATGGCCAGGTGTGACTGTAAGTTCTACGTTAACAGTTTCTTCTCTCACACTTCTCACTTGTGGATCTCTTCCGCCTTGGTTCCCAGTCTAGTTTGATCTTCAAAAATTTAAATGCAATGTTAATCATTATCTTCTGTCTTAATTTTTGTTCTTTTATTGTTCTCACTCCCTTAATGATGCTTTTTTTCTTATATTCTTTCACTAAATAACCCCTTGCGTCTTAGTGGCTTTACTGCTTCACTTGGGGTGAAATGAATAAAAAAATAAACAATACAAAATTTGTCTTACTAAATGTTAATTAATACAGAATTCATAATTATTTATAATGCTTGTTTAATAATTAGCACAAAATTATTAATAAATCCAACATTATTTCTTTGCTTTTAGACCTTGTAGGTTTTTTTTTTTGTTTTTTTACTACTGTTCACCTAATACAAGACCCAAGAGTCACTCAAAGTAGAGGGTTATTGTATGGAGTTGTATTAGCCTAAGAAAGGGCATGATAAAAGGCAAGGGACAGCTAATTCCAGACACAAAGAGATCAAGATTTAATTAGAGAATAAAAATTCAGGCAGGGATATTACAAGTAAAGAGTTGAAGTAAACTTTAGAAGGAACTGGAAACCAAATCCTAAACAGGAAACAAGGAATGAACCTCAAACACTATTCAAAAGACTGGACAATAGGGTTACAGAAAGATTTCAACTTTTTTTTTTTTTTTGTTTTACTATACAAGGCTCAAGAGCCACTCAAAGTAGAGGGTTACTGTGTAGCGTTGTATTGGCATGAGAAAGGGTAAGGCACAAGGAAAGAGACTGCTAAT